CGGGGAGGGGTCGCGCGGGGGCGGGCCGCGGGCCGGGCGGGGGTCGGCGGGCTTCCGGGCGGCGGCGGCGGGCGCGGCGCGATGTGCGAGCGGGCGGCGCGCCTGTGCAGGGCCGGCGCGCACAGGCTGCTCCGGGAGCCGCCGCCGCAGGGCCGGGCGCTAGGCGGGCTGCTGCGCTGGGTGGGCGCCAGGATGGGCGAGCCCCGGGCGCCGCTGGCCCCCGACGCCCCCGACGCCCCCGCGGCGGACCCCGGCCCCGGCCCGGGGCCCGGCTCGCCGCGCGGGGGCACCGCGGTCATCCTGGACGTGAGTACGCGCCGGCCGGGACCCCAGCCCCCTCCTCCCCCCACCCCCGGGCGCTCCCGACGCCGCCCTCCTGCGCCCCCGCCGGGACCCACGAGCCCCGCTCCTCCCCGGGCGGGGGACCCCCGGCCCTTTCCCCCTCGGCGGCCCGGAGCGGGACCCGCACCCGACCCCTCCCGAGTCCCAGAGCGCGACCCCAGCCCCTCCGAGTTCCAGACGGTCTCCATCCCAGTCTAGCCTCCTCCCCGGACCACGACGGTCCTCCTCTTCCCACCCCCCTCCCTCCATTTCTGGGGATCCCCACCTTCTCGGAGCCGGAGCCGGGACCCTGGAGTCCTTGGACCCGGCCACCGCCCCCCTACTTTTGTGCTGGCTAAACCCTTACCCTTTCCCCAGCCCTGTACCTCCCCCTGTACCCTCATCCCTGTCGGGTCGCGAGCCCCTGCCGCCTCCGGCCCCCTCCTCTCCATCCCCACGCCTGCCTGAATCCATACTTTTCTGAAATCCCCCTCCCCTTTCAGGCTCCGGTCCCCCTTCTCTGATCCCGGTCATAGACCATGAGCCTGGGTTTTCTCATCCCCAAAGCCGCTTTCCACCCCAGGCACAGGCGGCTCTGTGACAGTGAAGCCCCCTCCCCACCTGTCTTCTCTCCTTCAGGAGAGCTGGGGCCACCCCCATCTGTTCTGTCTGAGCCTCGACCCCTCTGGGCTCCCCTCCAGCCCCCACCCCCACCTCCACTAGGAGCCCCCTCTGTTCTCCATTCCTTCCATACCCTCGACTCAAACCTCCCTCCCATCCCCTCCCTGATCCAACGCACCCACCTCTGGGAAGCCCACCTCACCCTCCCACCCACTCCCCAGGAGTGGGAGGAAGAATCTAAGGGAGGGACTGCTGGGGGTGGGGTGGGGGACCTGCTCTGTAGAGCCAGGGAGAGGCGGAGAGGGCTTGGTTCACGGCACCACCCCCACCTCCTAACAGCACAGTGGTAGGTTGTGCCTGTGCCCCTGAGGGTCCTGTACCCGGTGGGTTTGGGGGAGAGTTGTGTCTGTGTGTTGGATCCTTGGGGGGAGCGCGGATCTCCTCTCCTCTTCCCTTCTTCTCTCCTGGAACCCCCAGTTGGCTCTGTGCAGAGGGGGCTGGGCAGGGCAGGGGGAGCTGTCCTGAGGGTGCTTGTGGTTGCCTGCGGACACGCGCGTGCTTGCACAAGCGCGCACGTGCACACACACACACACGCACACACACACTTGCGTCGCCGCCCTCTCTCCAGACCCCAGCGTAGTCCGGGGGAAAGCCCTGTCCAGACCCTTCCCGTTCCTAAGTGTACAGGCCGTGGGCTCCGGGGTCCTCGTCATGCTGGTGTGTGTGGGCTCTGAGCCTCCATTTCTTCATCTGGGAGGCGGAGTGGTGCGTGGGGGTGGGGAGCGGAGTCCTGGAGCCCCATCACGTGGTCTGCTTCTGTTGCTTGGTTGTCGTGGCCATCCTGGGCCGCTGGGGGTGGGACCCTGGCCTCAGGGAAACTTTGCTATTATGAGTAGGGGCGGGGCTCTGGTCCTTGCCCCCCCCACTCCCGCCCCAGCCATGGGGGCTCCTGCCTAGGTACCCCAGAGCAGGGTTTCAGCTGAGGGAAGGGGGTGATGTCTGAGAAGCCTTCCTGAGCTGCGGCTTCAGTGTGTCACAGTCTCAGGTGCTTGGGGGGGCAGTGACATCTGTCCTTGGCCCCAGGGCCAGAACCAGAGGTGGGAATGGATGGTCAGAGGCGGTGATGCTTCCCCCTGCTCCTTCTTACCAGCATGGCTCACCTCATCCTGCAAATACCAGGTCTCAGCTCACCCTTGGAGGGGTGGGTGGCTGTCAGCTCCCCCCGCCCCTCCCCCTGCAGCCACAACCTCGCATCTGCAGCCCCGGTGCCGGACTCTGGGTGGCCTGCTTCCACCCACTCCCCCGCCCGGAAAACAATCCAGTGCCAGCCCCCAGCCAGTCCTCGAGGTTTCCTTAGCAGACATCTCTGTTGGGACCTAACTGACGGGGTTCCGGGAGGGGCGCAGCAGCTGCGTCCCCGGGCCACGGATGCCGAGTGTGGGACTGCGCGTAGCTCGGTGGGTGCGGCCGCGTGGACCGCCCTCTCTGGAGGCACACCCGCAAGCGTGTGGCTGGGTGTGAGCCTGTGTGTCCATGTGTGTGCGCGCATGGCTGCCAGTGTGGCCGTGGGCAGGCTGGCGGCCCAGAAGGAGAGTGGGCGCTGCTTCCTCACGGGCGGCTGGGAGGGCTCTGCCACTAGCGTCCCTCCCGCCCTGGATCCCAGCTGGGGTCTTCTCCTGGGGGAGGGGCTGCTCTGCTTCCCAGCACCCCACCCCCCGCACCCCCGGGAGTGGGATCCCAGGATGAATCAGAAGCCACTGGAGGGCGTCTGCCCCTCTGGGGCCCCAGCTGACTGTACTTCTCTTCTCTGCAGATTTTCCGCCGGGCCGACAAAAACGGTGAGTTTCCCTCCCAGACGGTCCCCTGAGGGAGGCCCTGGCTCTTTCTGTCCTCATGCTTCAGGGAAAGGGACCACGGGTGGGGGCATGAACAGCCTTGCACCTAAAGGTTCAAAGTATGGGATGCTGAAGTCAGAAGGCCACAACCCAGCTCTGCCCGTGCCTCAGTTTCCCTGTCTATACAGTGGAATTCCCGTAGTTCATACTTAGTAGGGGTGCCACAGGGATTCAGGGAGTTGGTGTCTGTGACGCCCGGGTGTTCTGCGTATTGTAGGTGCTTGGGGAACGTCAGCCCTCAGACAGCTGGGAGGGACCAGAGCAGCCCAGGGAGGGAGTGCCCAGCGACCACCCTTTAAGGGGGCCCCTAGCCTCACTCCAGGCCCTGGCACGTCTTCCTTGCCACGATCTGGTGCCCTCGGCGCTATTGCTCCTATTCTGACAATTCCGTAGCGGCCCAGAGAGGTTAAGTGACTTGCTCAGGGTCACCCAGCTGCATGAAGACAGTCCAGCTTGTGCTGCAACACCGGGACTTTTCCCCACGTCAGGTGTCCTCCCCAGCGATGTGAGGGACACATTGTCGGGGCCGTGGATGCTGACACTGCACTTCTCCTGACTTCTTAGAAAGTCTTTCCAGTATATGAGGGAGGTGGGGGTCTGAAAAGGACCAGGTTTCCCAGGGGACACCTGAGCCTCACAGCAGCACAACTTCACATAAACACCTTCGTCCTTATTCCCAGGGCCAGCGCCACACTCCGTGGCCTTTAGGTAACACATAGTCCCTCTGCAGGCCTCAGCTTCCACATCTCTAAAGTGGGCTGATCGGTTACTTTTTTTTTTTTTTAAATTTTATTTATTTATTTATTTGTCAGAGAGAGAGAGAGCCCAAGCAGGCAGAGCGGCAGGCAGAGGCAGAGGCAGAGAGAGAAGCAGGCTCCCTACTGAGCGAGGAGCCCGATGTGGGACTCGATCCCAGGACCGTGGGATCATGACCTGAGCCGAAGGCAGCAGCTCAACCAACTGAGCCACCCAGGCATCCCTGATCAGTTACTCTTAACTTGCCTGCAGCCTTGGCTGTTGGGAAAGTGCAGGGAGGAGATGTGCGAAGGGTGGGGAGCAGGGGGTCCTCGGGCCCCAGCGCCTGTCCTTCGTGGGCTGGAATTGCAGGTGGCCGCTCTGGCCCAGGGCCCCACACCCCCTCCCTCCCTGACCCATCCCCTCCATGGTATTGGGGTGGAATGAGAGGCCTTGGGGGAGGGCCTTGCACAGGCCTGGACTAGAAGCCAGGGCCCAGGGGTCTCCATCCCCTGCCCCTTGGCATGATGATGGTCCCTCCCAGGCCTCTTGGGACACATGACTCCCAAGTTCCATCTGGAGCAGGGGGAATAGATAGGGATGCGGGGGGCCCTGCAGTGACGTCCAAAAGCGCTTGTGGCACCTGGGCCCAGACAGCCTTCGAGGTTCAGCGGGGATCGAGGGGCTTGATCCCAGACCTGGATGCAGGTGTCTCTCTGGCGTCTTCAGTGTGCCGTGGCCTGGGGCCACGTGGTCACCTTCGCCCATCGTGAGTTCCTGGCTAGTAGGAATGTGGGCTTGTCCCTGCCGTGGGCCCACAGTCAGTCTTTGCAAAGGTCTGTAGGCTTCAAGGTCACGGGTCTGTTCCCTGCCGAGTGCGGCTGTGCACGGCCGTGGGGCACAGCAGGAGTCTGGCTGCCGGTCTCCCTGCGGGCGGCCGTGGCTCTGCGTGGCCTTGCCTGCTTCTGTGATGACCGCTGGACACACGGAGTGTGCACGGACCCATGTGTGTGTGCACCTGCCTGGTGGGGGTTTGGCACGCCAGCCTCCCTACAGGCCCACGTGGGGTCTCCTCCTAGTCGCCTGATGCCCTGTGGGAGACCGTGTTTCCGCCCCCTGAGCACAGTGGAGGGGTCCCTCGACATGGCTCCGTGGCCCCCACGGAGGCGGAGCCCATCCCTCTCCGGGATCCTCAGGTCTTCCCGGCCTCCGCACTGAGGGGTTGTCGCCGGCTTGATGTCGGTCCCAGAGGAGCTTCAGGGCCTGTGAGGAGGTGGAGTCCCTTCTCTGTCACAGTCCTGGCTCTTGTGACCTCAGGCCGGTCAGCCAATGCTTGGGGCCTCAGTTTCCCCATCTGTAAGTGGGCCTGATGACACCAGGACTGCCCTCCGAGGGCCCTGGTGGGGCTGTTGCCGGGTCCGGGCGTCCAGGCCATGGGGAACCGTGAGGCCGACGCCACCCGTGGGCGTGGATGCCGTGGTTTGCCAACAGGAGTTTTGTTCCTACCCACGCTACCCAGGGAGCTTACCGCCCCGGGGGCTGCCGGCGGCCACCCAGCACCCCCTGTTCCTCGACCTCACCGGGGCTTCACTGTGCTTCTGCTGGGATGAGAAGCATCACCGTTTTTTTAGCGATGCCCAAAGCTCGGCCCAGAGCACGCGGGTGCGGGACTGCCGATCCCGGGCTGGGGAGCAGCGTGGGCAGTGGGTACTGAGAACATGTCTGGGTGGGGGGACCGGGATGAACCCACAGGGGCGGCCAGAGCCGCAGACAGGACGCACAGGTGTGTGCTGGCCCTGCCCCGGGCATCCGCAGGAGTGATGCCCAGAGGTGCAGGGTGGGGTATGGTCTCCCGGGAGAAGCCTCCGGAACCCCAGGGCCCAGGTGCTCGGGGCCAGTCTGTGCTGGTGGCTCCCAGGGCGGACGCTTCTTTGTTGAGACAGACTGATCGTGGCTCCTGCGCGGAGGCCGAGGGTCAGGGGTCTGCCCCGCAGCCCAGGCACGAAGCCTGGGAGGGTGGCGGGTGGTGTCCAGCAGCGCCAGACTGCGTGCTTCTCCAGGGACGTGGACACAGGCAGAGTCCTGGCATTTGAAAGGTCACGGTGACAGAGGCTGAGCTCATGCTCGTTAGCGAAGACACCTGCAAACGGCCTGCTCAGCGTCCTTGCTGGGAGGGGGTGCCAGGCCCTCTCCTCTGATGGTACAGAGGCCCCGGGCAGGAGCCAGGAGCTGTTCCTTCCCTCATTAGCGGAGCTGGGCTCATTAGGGCTGTGGCAGGACGTTCAAAGTAAATGTCACCAGAGAAGTCTGTGCCCGGGAGGCCTGGTGGGCGTCTCTCTGCCTGCGCGCCTGAGCCTGGACAGGTGGAAGGAGGGGAAGGCAGGGAGATGCCCCCCACGCCCCCAAGGCCGCACCCGTGGCAGCCATGAGTAGTCAATCCCCTCACGCTTCCCCTCCCCCGAAGTGCAGACTTGGCCTTGTCCCTGGGGGGCGGGGGCTCTCACCAGAAGACTCTGCCCCTGGCCTGGGGGGAGGCATGGACTTGGGGGCCAGTTGGCTGAGGCTCTCGCTCCAGCTGTGGATCCCTTAGCGGCTCTGGGTCTCGGTTTACTGCTCTGGAAAATGGGAGTCTCGTGAAGACAGAATGGCCCGCGTGTTGGCCGCAGTTCTGCTCGGGGCCTCCTTGTTTGTATCAGCTCTGGTGCCAGAGGAAACTTGGAAAGTCTCCTCTTTTTCACAGACTGGAAAGAGCCTCCGTGGGCCGTGCATCGTTTACAGCTGGTAGCGTGAAGGCCTTTTTATGGTTGCCTGTGTGTGTGTGTGTGTGTGTGTGTGTAAGGGGGTGGGCTGGGGCTTGTCTGCTTTGTTTCGGGGGGAGCTCTTGTTTTTGAAAACTACAAAGTCATTTCCCTCTGTGACGATGAAACTTGAGCCTGGAAGTCAGAGGCAAGCGGGGAGGTTGCCCTTAGCCCAGCCCTCCCTCCCGCACAGGCATTTGCTCCCTCTCTCCCGTCTCCTGACGCTTGCAGGCCTGATGGGCCGGAAGGAAGACAGGTGGAGGGAAGCCGTGGCAAGGTGCGAGGGTCTCCCTCTGCCGAGCTAGTTTCTGGGCTCCTACTTTGAGCCCCTGCAGAGTTTGTGGGAGCAAAGAGAGATCGTCCCAGGCCTTTAAAATACAGGAATGGGAGCGCCTGGGTGGTTCTGTCGGTTAAGCGTCTGACTCTTGATTTTAGCTCGGGTCATGATCTTGGGGTCCTGGGATTGAGGCCTGCTCCATGGGGGGTCTGCTGGAGGTGGTCTCCCTCCCGACCCGGAAGGGGCATCTTGTCATCCAGGTGCCACGTGGGCTTGTAGGGGACTTTGACTGCAGACTGGCTGGAAGTCACGGCTGGGGGTCTGTGCCAAGGGGCTAGGGTTTCCCTCTCCCAGACTTCACAGACACCCACAGGCGTGGCTCCTTTAAGGAGCAGCTGGAACTGGTCTGAGATCATGGGGAGGGGGTGGGGATCAGCAACCGGGGAGTTTGCTCCACAGGTGTGCCTAGGTGGAAGGAAGTTTGGGAAGGGGGAGCTGGGCCACTGCCTCTCCCAGAGTCACTGGCGTCTGCCACAAACTCCCTCCTCTGTGACCGCTTGCCCCCAGCCCACGAGACCTGCCAGTGCCCCGGGGGGGCTGCGGGCAGAGGGAGAAGAGGTGAGACAGAGGGTGGGTGGGTGGGACCTGGGGCTGTGGGGCCCCAGCCGTCCCAGGCACACACAGGCTGGGCAGTGCCTGCCTGGGGCCTCCTTTCCCTGCGGTTCGGCGTCCTCACGGCTGTTCTCTGGTGGACTGAGAACCACCTGCCCACCGTGGGCCGCCGTCTCATGTCGCCCGGCGTGGAGGTTTGGGCCCCAAGTTTGCCGCGTGGCTGGGGCGGCGTGGAGAGGAAGCGTTCCCTCCCCTGGGTCAGGACCGGGGCTGCGTTGGGAGATGGTGCCGGTGTCAGGGGGTTGTGTGGGCGTTTGGAAGCAAGAGAGGAGGGTCCTCAGACCCCCGGCTTCGGCGCGGTGCTCCCTTGGAGGGTACCACCCCCAGCGGCCAGCGAATCGGGGGAGAAGAGGGCCTGGCCCAGAGCAGGTGCTGGTCGTTGACCTGAGCCCAGCCAACCGGCTGCCGCTTGCTGACTCTGTTGGCTCGGGGACTCCCTGGAAGTGGGCGCTGATGTGCTCGTTTGGGAATTAGTCTGACGAGGCAGTGATTTTTCTACGACCTGGAGTTTACTAGTTCATCTGGCCGTTGGCTGGGCGACGGAGGTTCTCCAGCTGGAGCTGATCTGTAGATTGGGGGATTGTCCGGCCTCCGGGCTGTCTTATCTCTCAGACACCAGCTGCCCTCCCTCCTCCCTCCCCTGCAGACGACGGGAAGCTGTCGCTGGAGGAGTTCCAGCTCTTCTTTGCAGATGGCGTCCTTGACGAGAAGGAGCTGGAGGGCCTCTTCCACACGATTGACTCCGACAACACCAAGTGAGCCAGGCCCCCTGCTGCTGGGCTGGGGCGGCCTCCCGTGGGTCTGGGGGGACCCGTCTTCCTTCCTGGCGAGGCGATCAGTCTCTGTGTCCCACTCCCCTGGAGGGGCAGGAAACCCGAAACATCCCCGCACCTGCCGACCCACAGGTCAGGTCTGGTGGCCCCCGCTGGCCGGGGTGACCGGGGTGTGGCACAGGGACATCGCATTGGCCGGTTTGTCTGTCCTGGGCACACGTGGCTAAGAAGGAACAGACCCTAGACACTACAGCATGCCCACACTGTAACAAAAAGGGGACGTTGGCAGTGACCTCTGCCTCCTGCTAACTCAGCCCCGTTCTGACCCCCCGGTCCCAAGGGGACCTCCGTGACCTTGATCTTCACTGGTCCTGTCTTAAACCAAACTGACCAGGTACCAGTCGTAGCTCTGACTTGAGCCCCACTCCTCTCCACCTCATAAACCCCGTCATAACCCCCCGAACTTGCATCTCAGAACCAGCCAAAACCTCTGGCCTGACCCATCCCTAAGTCAAGTGCAAAGTGTACGTTCTGCTCATACACACCCGACACCACCAACTCACTCTTTCCCTGGGACCCCAGGCAAGATGAGGCCCGGCCCCTTTCTTGGGCCCCGCGGCCCATCCCCCTCCTCGGTCCCACACAGGTCATGGGGACCAGAGTTTCGGGGGTGCTGCTTGGAGCAGGTTTGCTGAGCCGGGGTCCCCTGGGACAGGCTGGAGGTATCCCGCACAAGGAGCAGCCACCAGGCGTGCCTGCAGGGGACCCAGCACCGTGCTGACCTGGACCAGAGGTTGGGGCTGCGAGTGTCCTGGGAGGCGTCCTGGGAGGCACAGGCTGGGGACCGGGGTGGGCAGGTGTCCTTATCTGGGAAAGGCCACTGGAAACAGCTTCCTGCTGCAGCCTCCGTGAAGGGCTTGGTTTCTGCAAACAGATGGCGGTTTCCGAGCACTTCCTGCAGTCCCCCAGGGAGCTTTGAAAGGGGTCTGTAGGTGGCTTCTGGTTTACTCATTGTCATGGCGCCTTTTGTGTTGGGCCAGCTGGGTAGGGGGAAGGAGGCTTTGGCTGAAATCTTCATTTGAGTACAGTTAAACAGGCTTCCTCTGTGCAGGACTTGTCAGAACATTTAATATGGGATGAGAATTGGAGGACTCTGCAAGACAGGGCTTCCAGAGCCTTGAACCTAGATTTCTTTGGCCACAGGAGCCTTCTCCCAGATGCATCTTACGGAACTGGGATTCCAGGAGCTCTCCAGCCCAGGGCAGTCCCTCCTCTCTCAGTGAGGGAACCAGGGCCCGGAAAGGGTCCCTTGGCATGTGCCCCCAGCACGGCCCACCACCGCGTCTCCGTTCGGAGGCTGCTGCCTGCACCTTCCCCAGTGTGGGTGGCATTCTGGGGCTTAGTCTCCTCCGAGGAAGGACATAGTCCTCTCCACGTTGTAGGCATCGGGGTGCGGGACCCCAGGGCGAGGGTGGGGACACGGAGGGCTGTCCCAGGAGTCCTGAGAGCTCCAGGACCCGGCAGGCAGGCAGGCAGGCATGCCCTGGGGGAAGCCCATGCGCATTATGGGCCCCTCTCTTCTGTCCCTTTCCCTCCCTTCTCCCAGCCCCTGGCCTGGCCCAGTCCTTCCTGTCCCGTATGCTCATGACATGGGCAGCAGAGTGGGGGAGAGGGAGTGAGCGGTGGTGAGGTCAGAAGAGTTGCCGGTGGGGTTCCCTGCTCCATCCTTGGGAGGGAAGCGTCCTTGACCTCATGCGTGAAGCAGGGCTCGCAGGGCTTGCGTGGATGATGACAGACGAGGCACAGCGGGCAGCCCGGGGCCATGCACGCTGAGGCGGGGGAGGGCGGATGGGACGGGGACAGGCCTGACCTGAGTCTCCCTCCTTCTCTCTGCAGCCACGTGGACACCAAGGAGCTATGTGGTAGGTGCCCAGCTCTGCAGGGACCAGGACTGGGGTGGTGGGATGGGACTCTGGGGAGCACTGAGGGCACAGGTGGGATGCATGGGAGGCCCCGTGAGGGTGGGGTCCTCCTCCTTTGCCCCTGACCTTTGCTTTGCCTTCCTTCAGATTACTTTGTGGACCACATGGGCGATTATGAGGACGTCTTGGCCTCCTTGGAGACCTTGAACCACTCTGTCCTGAAGGCGATGGGCTACACCAAGAAGGTCATGGGGTGTGGGTGGCTCCTGGGGCTCCGGGGTCTGGGATTTCCTGCAGAGCATCCTCAGCCAAGGGGCCTGGACTTGGGATGCTGAGCTCTGGGTGGGTCTGGCTCTGGGTTGGGCTTTCCTGGGGGCTCCCAGAGGGAGCTGGTGGAGGTGGGTGGAGCGGCGTGGTGAACGGCCTGGTCCTGCGGTGTCTGGAGTGGAGCATGAGGCCGTTTCCTGGAGTTGGCGCGTGGTCTGGGTACGCGGCGCTAGAAAGGGAGCAGCGGCCTCCCGCAGCCCTCCAGCGCCCTCGGACAGGAGAGGGACCTGAAAGTCTCCCGCCCTCCTGCAGCAGGGTTATGGGATGGCAGGGGAGGGGAAAGGCACAGGTTCCTGCATCTGTGCTTGGCTGAGGGCTTGCGCAGTGTCCAGTGTGAGCACCCTGTCTGGGCGGCAGGACCGCTCGGAGTGTTGGGAGCAAGCCCAGTGCAGGGACCCCTGCATGTCCCAGAGAGTGGTCTCTCCAGCACCTCTGCCCACAGTGCTGTCACCTCCTCGCGTGCCCTGGAGGAGGATAGGAGGCAGGGAGCAGGGGCCGGGTTGGGGGCTGGGCGTCGTGCTGTTGAAGCTCAGGGGCAGAAGCAGCCCGTCCCCCAGCCTCGGGGTCTGCACCCCACTGGGCCGGGGGCTGCTGGAAGGGCAGGCATCAGAGAAGGGGTGCCCTGGGCTTGTGAAGGACCCACACTGGCCAGCCCTGGGGTGGCCACTGTCACACGGTCACCAGTCCCATCTTGTAGCTCTGCAAACGGGTTCTGAAGAGGGAACGCTGCAGAGTCCACCAGATGGCCGTAGCTGCGGGCTCAGCGAGGGGGTGCTGAGGCAGGGACCTGGCGGGAGGTACGGAGCACGGCCCTGGACTCCGGGCCCACCTGGGGGGTGACAGGAGGGCCAGTTGGTCCCAAGGGGGTGCAGCCCACTGAGCGAGGCGTGCAGGGAGGGAGTGGGGCGTGGAATGTGGTAAGGGACACGTAGACCAGACTGAAGGACGCCCAGGCCAGTCCCTTCCCCCGGCGAGCCTCAGTTTCTCCATCTGTGGAATGTAGTGTTCCCCTTCCAGTCTTCAGGGGGTTGAATGAAGTAAGGTCTCCCAGCCGCTTAGCATGGGGCCTGGCACAGAGCAGAGGTGACTGTCCTAGCATTAAGGCTCCTGTCATCTGCCTGGACAGAAGCAAGACGAATTCTGTACGTTTTTTCCCCGTGGTTCTCGGTTCCTGTCCTGTGTATCGGAGAATCCCTTTCCTCCTCTCCGTCTCAGAAAAGCCGGGCTTGGTCCTGAGCCTCCATGTACCCATGTCGCGCGCCTCTCCTCCCGCCCGGCTGTCTGAGTCTGGTCTTAGAGCCTGTCGTAAATACCGTGTAGGAGCCGTTGCCTGTCGTCGCCTGGATTTGGGGTGGACATTCTGAATGTGGTGGGCGGGCAGTGGGTTTGCAGGGGAGCGTGGAAAGAGCCCAGACCCTGGGATCCCTGCCCGGACCCGGGGTAGCTGCCCAGCTCCGCGCCTGATGGGCCGGGAGACGCGCCCCACGTGCCCCCACGGGACCCCTCGGGGATGGAGCCGCCTCCCGGCGAGGCCGCCTCAGGTGTCTCCCACGTGCTCGCTCCCTTCTGGGTCTGCCCATAACGCTGCCACGGGGACCTCAGTCTCCGTCAAGGAGGGGACTCGAGCATCTACCAGTAGGACTTGGACCGGTTCTCGAGAGTCTGGTCTGGGAAGCCAGGCACACGGGATCTCGGGGCGGCCTTCTGGGCGTTTCCAGCGGAGCTGGTGACGGCTGGTGGTGGCAGGAGCAGCGGGCATTTCTTTTTCTGGCTGGTTTTCGAACCAATTTTTGCTGATAGCCGTGCAGCTCGTGGTCCTCTGGGATGCCTCCCCTGCGTCCGTGTCGATCCGTGTGGACCTCTGGCTTCCGGGGCTGCGGGGTCCCGGTGTGAGCTGGGACCTGGTGCACTTGGCTTCTCGGTTCCTGGGGTGCGTCCTGCTGCCTTTCCTTCCCCCTGATTCAGCGGCCGCGTCAGGCTTCCTCTTGTGGCTCGTGATTTTCAAGTGTGTTTCTCCAGTATTTCTCCACTAATGACAATATTAATACCAGCTCTGTTTTTAGAATCCTCTTCAGTTTGTTAAAAAATTTATATGTATTTTTGCCTTCCCTTCGTTACATGTCGTCTTAGGAGGTCGTAGTGAGTCTTTTAAATTTCCTTCGGATGGCGTGAGTCTCCTTCGGCTCTTGGCGGGTGGATTCTATTCTTGGGGTGTCTTCTGCCGAACATTCCTGCGCTCCCTGGGAGAAACCCCAGCGGGCGCCTGGACCCTCTGTCACAGCACTGAGCTCTCGCTTGGTCTCCCTTGGAAATTGCGGCTGGACCTTGATCTGGGGATGAATTGTGGGTTTGGAAGATCTTGTGTGTGAATCTGCTTCTCCACCACGGAATCCTTTTTTAATTCAAAAATAGAAGGAACTTATCCAGGAGGCTGGGGTCAAGGTCCGACTTGGGGCAGGGGAGGGGGGGAGTAAATTCATAGACCTTTGAGGTCATCCTGGTTCCAGTGAAACATTTGACTTTTTGTGTCCCTTTTAGTGCCGTTTCAAATAAAACTGTCATGGACACGTTCAGCTTCGCGATCGGTCATGCATAGTATGTTGATGATTTTTTTTATTAATAGACAATGTATTATTTGCTCCAGGGGTACAGGTCTGCGAATCATCAGTCTTACACAGTTCACAGCACTCACCATAGCACATGCCATCCCCAGTGTCCACCACCCAGTCACCCCATCCCTCACCCCCAACCCCCAGCAACCCTCAGTTTGTTTCCTGAGATTAAGAGTCTCATGGTTTGTCTCCCTCCCGATCCCATTTTCTTTCTTTAATTCCCTCCCTACCTCCCAAACCCCCAATTCTGCCTCTCAAATTCCGTATATCAGGGAGATCATATGATAATTGTCTTTCTCTGATGGACTTACTTCACTCAGCATAATACCCTCTAGTTCCATCCACGTTGTCGCAAATGGCGAGATTTTGTTTCTTTTGATGGCTGCATAGTATTCTTTATCCATTCATCTGTTGATGGACATCTAGGTTCTTTCCATAGTTTGGCTATTGTGGACATTGCTGCTATGAACATTCAGGAGCACGTGCCCCTTCGGATCCCTACGTTTGTATCTTTAGGGTAAATACCCAGTAGTGCGATTGCTGGATCATAGGGTAGCTCTATTGTCAACTTTTTGAGGAACCTCCATGCTGTTTTCCAGAGTGGCTGCACCAGCTTGCATTCCCACCAACAGTGTAGGAGGGTCCCCCTTTCTCCACATCCTTGCCAACTTCTGCTATTTCCTGACTTGTTAATTTTAGCCATTCTGACGGTGTGAGGTGGTATCTCACTGTGGTTTGTTGTGGTTTTTTTTAATATTTTATTTATTTATTTGACAGAGATCACAAGTAGGCAGAGAGGCAGGCAGAGAGAGAGAGAAGAGAAAGCAGGCTCCCTGCCAAGCAGAGAGCCCAATGCGGGACTCGATCCCAGGACCCTGAGACCATGACCTGAGCCGAAGGCAGAGGCTTATTAACCCACTGAGCCACCCAGGTGCCCCCTCACTGTGGTTTTGATTTGTAGTTCCCTGATGCCGAGCAACGTGGAGCACTTTTTCATTTGTCTGTTGGCCATCTGGATGTCTTCTTTGCAAAAATGTCTGTTCATGTCCTCTGCCCATTTCTTGATTGGATTATTTGTTCTTTGAATGTTGAGTTTGAGAAGTTCTTTTTTTTTTAACTCTTTTTTTTTTTAAGATTTTATTTATTTACTTGACAGACAGAGATCACAAGGAGGCAGAGAGGCAGGCAGAGAGAGAGGAGGAAGCAGGCTCCCCGCTAAGCAGAGAGCACTATGTGGTGCTCAATCCCAGGACCCTGGGATCATGACCTAGGCCGAAGGTAGAGGCTTTAACCCACTGAGCCACCCAGGTGCCCCAGAGTTTGAGAAGTTCTTTAGAGATTTTGGATACTAGCCCTTTATCTGATATGTCATTTGCAAATATCTTCTCCCAGTCTCCGTTGTCTTTTGGTTTTGTTAACTGTTTCCTTTGCTGTGCAGATCCTTTTGATCTTGATGAAATCCCAATGTTCATTTTGCCCTTGCTTCCCTTGCCTTTGGCGATGTTTCTAGGAAGAAGCTGCTGCAGCTGAGGTCAAAGAGGTTGCTGCCTGTGCTCTCCTCAAGGATTTTGATGGATTCCTTTCTCACATTGAGGTCCTTCATCCATTTTGAGTCTATTTTTATATGTGGTGTCAGGAAATGGTCCAGTTTCGTTCTTCTGCACGTGGCTGTCCAATTTTCCCAACACCATTTGTTGAAGAGACTTTTTTTCCATTGGACATTCTTTCCTGCCTTGTCGAAGATTAGTTGACCATGGAGTTGAGGGTCTATTTCTGGACTCTCTCTTCTGTTCCATTGATCTATGTGTCTGTTTTTGTGGTAGTACCATACTGTCTTGATGATGACAGCTTTGTAATAGAGCTTGAGGTCTGGAATTGTGATGCCACCAACTTTGGTTTTCTTTTTCAACATTCCTCTGGCTATTCGGGTCTTTTCTGGTTCCATATAAATTTTAGGATTATTGGTTCCATTTCTTTGAAAAAATTGATGATATTTTGATAGGAATGGCATTAAATATGTAGATTGCTCTAGGTAGCATAGACATTTTCAAACTATTTGTTCCTCCAATCCATGATCATGGAAGGTGTTTCCATTTCTTTGTGTCTTCCTCAATTTCTTTCATGAGTACTTTATAGTTTTCTGAGTACAGGTTCTTTGCCTCTTTGATTAGGTTTATTCCTAAGTATCTTATGGTTTGGGGTGCAACTGTAAATGGGATTTACTCCTTAATTTCTCTTTCTTCTGTCTTGTTGTTGGTGTACAGAAATGCAACTGATTCTGTGTATTGATTTTATATCCTGACACT